AAGGATCTGGTCATAGTTTAGCCCAGATCCCCTTCTTACCCCGGGACATGAGACAAATTAAAAGTGATCTAGGAAAGTTCTCAGAAGACCCTGACAAATATATTGAGGTCTTCCAAAACCTCATTCAAGTATTTGATCTCTCATATAGAGACCAAATGTATATCATGCTCATATTACACCTGACCCTCTCTGCCACTGAAAAGCAAAATATACTAGAAAATAAAGCATTGCCAGTTCTGTATTATAGAAGGCCTCAAATGTAATAAAACAAAGCCTGTTAACTACTCTAAATTAACCACCATTAATCAAGGGGATAACAAAAACCCCTCAGCTTTTTAGAAAGGCTCAAGAAGGCTTTTGGTTAAGTGTACCAACATTACCCCAGATTCAGAATTGGGACAGCTAATTTTAAAGGACAAATTTATCACTCAGGCTATCTCAGACATCAGGAGGTTGCAAGAATTGGCTATTGGTCCCAAAAGTACTTTAAAAAAATCTCCTGAAAGTTACCACTTCTGTGTTCTATAATAGAGACCAGAATAAGGAAAAAGGAGAAACAGGGGAAGCCAGGCCAGAACCAAGGTTCTTTGTGCCACGCTTTGGCAAGGCAAGAGCCCCCAGTCAGAGCCTAGAGGCGAATGGTCAGTCCCGGTCACCTGCTACAACTGTAGACAGGTTGGACTTATGGGCCGGAATTGTCCCAAGGGGCATGGTGAACTCCTGAAGCCCTATTCTGTCTGTCAAGGAAACCACTGGAAGTCGGACTGCCCCTGGAGACTGAGGTCCCTTGGGACAGGGCTGGTGACCAACTTGCCCAACAGGACTGATGGGGCTTGGGGTCTCTCAATCCGGCGGCTCAGAGGACTACCTTCTCCTCCAAGGAGCCCCAAGTAAGCCTGACAGATTTTTATTCACAGAAAAGCCCTTGATTGGGCAGGGCAAAGTCTGTGCCATGAATAACACTCTTTACTGCAAGCAGCTTAGCTAAAAGGAAGGCCTCTGTTAACGTAAAAAAACCATTGAAACCTGTAAAGAATTTTTGTGAGTTTATTTGAGCCAAACTGTCGACATATGCCAGGAAGCAGAACCTCAACGAATTGAGATAGTGCTCCGGAGAATGGCAGGGTTACATCCGTATTTATACATGAAATTCATTGGTGACAGATTTAAGGAGGTGGGATTAAGTGAAGCGGGGAAACCTCTGTGACAGGATAAAAAGTAAAATGATGGACACATACTTAGGTGGGTGCAGGAATAATTAACATGATAAATGAAAGAATCTGCTGCATCTGTCCTGGGCCCAGCACACCTGGTTGTGCCCCAGGGGCTCCAGATTCAGGGAAATCACAAGTTACCCAGACATTTCAAGGGTATGTTATCATAGATGCAAAAAGACAGATAGGCTCAGTTACGGTAAAGGTTGACCTTATCAGTGAAGATATCGGCTTAGGACGTAACTGCCCACCATAATTGCTTTTAATTAAGGTTTAATTTCAGCCCATCCTTTGTGGTTACTTTAGGTCTCAAGTCTGCAAAACTGCCATGCAGGCCTCTCCTGAGCTTGTCAGGTCAGCATGTGGCCCCTTTCGTCCACACCTCATAGCCTCTTGCCCCAGAAGTCTGGGCACCAATCTATATATATAAAAGCCTAAGTGACCATTATGACTGGATGACTGGCCAGTAGCTATGACACGCACTGACCACCAGGGGGAAGACGCTGAATGCAGAAGCTATCCCCTGGTGGTCAATGTGCTCCCACAGCCAACCTCCTGTGGCCAGCCAACTTCCCACAGCCCCTCCCCCTAGCTGGCCTGCGGCCCCTTCCCCCAAGGCCCACCCCCATTGGCTCTGACTGGGGTGGGCTGGCTGGCCAACCTCCCGAGGTCCCTTCCCCGGGCTTGCCTGCCCCAATTGGCTCTGATGGGGCGGCCACTCCCCCCCGGCCGGCTGCCCGGATTGGGGCCAATCAGGGTGGGCCAGCCAGCCAACCTTCCCCGGGCCTGCCCCAATCGGCCCCAGGCCGATAGGGGCGAGAGACAGCCCCGATTGGTCCAGATCACCAGCCAGGCCAAGGGACCCCACCCGTGCATGAATTCATGCACCAGGCCTCTAGTTAAAGATATAATGCCATCCCTATTAGCTAGCTCCCCTTCTCAGACCTTGGTTTATACTGTTTTTTATTACTCATCTTTAACCATTGCCTGTTTAACCTTTGGTATGTTTCATATCCTCCCATTTAGAAGCCCTAAAGCTACAAATGGTCCTCCGCATGGAAGAGCAAATGGAGGCCACTACATCCATCTTCCGTGGACCCTTAGACCACCCACTTCTGATGGGGCTCTGACTGCCACCCCAAACTATGACCCCTTTACCAGCAGGAAACAGCCAGAAAGATGTGGCATCTCCTGTCCCCAACGGCATTTGGGGTTTCCTAATCGGAGGGGGGACTGAAACAGGAATTTTATAGGAATATAGGCAGGTTTAGGGAATTTTTAGAATTGGGGTCCATGGAAAAACACAGGAATACAGATTGGGAGAAGGTACATTTCCATAACACAAGGAAGCCAGCTGCAGTTACATTTCCATAAGACAAGGGAGCAGCAACAGATACATTTCCATAAGGCATGGGAACTGGAAATAGCCCCAAAGGTCTATATTTACAAAATAAAGGAGGAAGAAAGCCCAGAGGGAATAGGAGGACAATGAGAGAGGAGGACCTCACATGTCTCATGTGATGTTTGACATTTCAGCTCAGGAGTTACTATAGTAACCAATTCGAAAGGGAATATTGACCAATCAGAGGGATATTAGGGCACAAGACCTGCAGCCTTTATAATCCATTGAAACAGGAAGTCGGTGGGACTCTTTCCACCTCCCCATGTGGGAGTCCATTCTGTGGGACTCTTTCCCTCTCCCCACATGGGAGTATGTACTTGTTCTTCAATAAATCTCCACCTTTGCTATACTATTCTCTGTCGTGGATTCATTTTTCGACTCCAGCGGACAAAGAATCCAGCTTCCAGTCCAAAAATTTCGTTTCACCACCCTGGTTGGGGTGTGTTCGGGAGGCAACTAATCAATGTGTTTCTCTCACGTTGATGTTTCTCTCTCTAGCCCCCCATCCCCTCCCCTCCCTTCCTTCCACTCTCTAAAAATCAATGAAAAAGCTATCCTGGGGTGAGGATTAAGAAAAAATAAATAAGATAAATAAAGAGGAGGAAAGGATAGCTTCAAAATGGACAGCAGTTTCAAGGACAAGGGTGTGTAATTTCTGCTGCAAAGGAGAGTCAACTTCATGTCCGTAGAACTGGACAGGAGGCCCAGCAAGTGGGCAGCATCAAGAAATATGTGCTCCAAAGGCAACAAAATCTTGGACATATGCCGAAGCAATTTCTTCACTGATGCTGCTCCTAGGGCATTGGAAACTAAAGAGAAAATAAGCAAAGGGGACTACATCAAAATAAAAAGCTTCTGCACAGCAAAAGAAACCATCAACAAAACAACAAGAAAGCCCACTGCATGGGAGAACATATTTGCCAATGTTATCACCGATAAGGGTTTAATCTCCAACATTTATAGGGAACTCATACAACTTAACAAAAGGAAGATAAACAACCCAATCAAAAAATGGGCAAAGGCCCTAACCGGTTTGGCTCAGCGGATAGAGCATCAGCCTGCAGACTCAAAGGTCCCAGGTTCGATTCCGGTCAAGGGCATGTACCTTGGTTGCGGGTACATCCCCAATAGGGGGCGTGCAAGAGGCAGCTGATAGAGGTTTCTCTCTCATCGATGTTTCTAACTCTCTATACCTCTCCCCTCCTCTCTGTAAAAAAATCAATAAAATATATTTTTTAAAAAAATGGGCAAAGGACCTAAATAGACACTTTTCAAAAGAGGACATTCAGAAAGCCAAGAGACATATGAAAACATGCTCAAAGTCACTAATCATCTGAGAGATGCAAATGAAAACAACAATGAGGTATCATCTCACACCTGTCAGAATGGCTATCATCAACAAATCAACAAACGACAAGTGCTGGAGAGGATGCGGAGAAAAGGGAACACTTGTGCACTGCTGGTGGGAATGCAGACTGGTGCAGCCACTATGAAAGACAGTATAGAGTTTCCTCAAAAAGTTAAAAATGGAACTCCCATTTGACCCAGTGATCCCACTTTTAGGAATATATCCCAAGAAACCAGAAACACCAATCAGAAAAGATATATGCATCCCTATGTTCATAGCAGCACAATTCACCATAGGGAAGATCTGGAAACAGCCTAAGTGCCCATCAGCAGATGAATGGATTAAAAAACTGTGGTACATCTATACAATGGAATACTATGCTGCTGTAAAAAAGAAGGAATTCTTACCATTTGCAATGGCATGGATGGAACTGGAGAGCATTATGCTAAGTGAAATAAGCCAGTCAATGAAAGAAAAATACCACAAGATCTCACTCATTTATGGATAATAAAGACCATTATAAACTGATGAACAAAAATAGATACAGAGACAGAGCAGCATCGAACAGACTGTCAAACTACAGCGGGAAGGCTGGGGAGGGCTTGGGGGTGGGAGGGGGGGAGTAAGAGGTCAACCGAAGGATTTGTATGCATGCATATAAACATAACCAATGGACATAAGACACTGGGGGGTAGGGGAGGCCCAGGGAATGTCAAGGGGGTGGGGGGAAGGAGACATATGTAATACTCTTTGTAATACTTTAAGCAATAAAACAAAATTAAAAAAAGAAAGAAAGAAATATGTGCTGATTGATGACTGGGGGAGCTAGGAAAGGGCTAACATGGGACCACAGGGCAAGCCTTAGAGGCAGGGGCAATGGGCTCTCTGGGATTAAGGAGTCATATTGGCATGGATTCCCAGAGATCAATTCAAAGAAAGGATGAATCAATTTAGCGAACTGAACAGCAAGAAAGAGTCTGGTGTTTCAAGGATGAGGAAAGGGTTAGTCTCCCAGCATGAGAAATTAGAAAAGGAAGAATGAGGGACTGGAGCTAGGTACATGAGGAAAACACCAGGTAGGCCAGGCAGGCATGGCAGGAAGAGCCAGAAAACTCTGGAGGAAGATGGCATCATCAAAGAGTGGGCCACAATTCTGGGGAAAGACAGGAGGGAAGGACCTGAGTCTTCAAGAAAACTGGCCAGGCTCCTGATGGAATCACTGTGGGCTCTGTGGTGTAAGCTGTCTGGAAGGGAGCAAGTAGGAGGACAAAGGTAGACATCATAGTGAGTTAGTCCCTGCTCCTAAAAGGAGACCAGAAGCTGGATGTGTGATGGTGGTGGTCATACACCTGTGCTCTGGATCTTGGTCTGAGGGTGTTGGTAGATGGAAAGGGCGCCTTGGTACTGCCTTGAGGTTCTGGGAATGGGGACTCAAGTTTTGGAGTTCTGAGAAGACCATCTGAACCACAGCATGGTACAGGAAACTGTATTGCTCCTGACAGGGGAAGAAGAGTCATTGAGAAGGGAAGATGAGAAGGAGGGATGCATCCTTGGAAGGAGAAGCCTGAGCTTGTACCTACGCTCTGCCTGCACAACTGCAGACTGCTGCTACCACTTTGGGAGGACCAGGTCTGAGAGGCTGAAGTTAGGTGGGAGCCTCAGGGCCAGAGAGATGAGACCCAAGAGCAGGCAGGCCCTCAGGGGCAGGAGACTGCACTGCACAGGCATACACGTATGCCCTCATTGTACCTGGGTCAGGAGCAACTGTTTCACATAATCCATGGTACACAGGACACCTGTTTATCCACATCCCAAGCTAAAATGCGAGAATCAGAGCCCAGTTAAGGCATGCCCACAAACACTTTTAAGTGAGCATTTGGGATTGGGGGCCTTTTGATTCTCAGAACCCCCAGATTTTAGTTTAAAAGAAGAAAACTTTTGCCCGGCTGGTGTGGCTCATTGGCTGAGTGTCGACCTATGAACCAGGAGATCATGGTTCGATTCCTGGTCAGGGCACATGTCCAGGTTGCAGAGAATCACTGATCGGCTGCCTCCTGCCTGCCCCACACTCGATCCCCAGTGTGGGGCAGGCAGGAGGCAGCCGATCAGTGATTCTCTCCCATCATGAATGTTTTTCTCCTCTCTCTCCTCTCCCTTCCTCTCTGAAATAAAGGTGGCCTCTCAGCCTTTTAACCAACCCCTGCGGGGCCAAAAGTTTTCTTGAATTACATCCCAAATCGAGGGAGTTTCTGAGAATCAAAGGGCCCCCAAGCCCAAATACAACAGCTAAGGGAGTTGGAGGTCTAACAATAAGTGTCCTCTGATTCTCGCCATTTTGGCTTGGGACGGGAACAGACAGGTGTCCGGGGTACCAAGGATTCTGTGACAACAGTTCCTCCTCACGC